TCGACTCACGGGCGGTTCTCAGCCGCGGGGGGCGGACGGTGCCGCTCTCTATCGACCATAAGGTTAGTGGCAACCTCGTAAATTCTTTTTATCTGGGGGTTATGTCTGTATTCTTCGGTGGTGGACCACTGTACGTTCTAGCTATGAACGCTGGCCACGTATTTGTTTTCTGTTGGAACTTGGCAGGAGGAGATTCCGTTACGTAATTATTTCTTCCGAGGGTTTGGATCGAACCCCGCGTCTGGATCAAATAAGTGCTCTCGTATTCAACTTTCCCGAAAAAAATATATATTTGAGACACGTTTAAAAATTTGTTGAAACACGTGGTCCAATAAAAGCAAGGGTGAGTGTATACCTGTCTGTTAGGTGGAAAGTCTGATACTGACAGCGTGCTTAATTACCTAATCAAGGTTTAAGAATGAATAATTAGGTTCGATTTAATTTATTTGGTCCTGGGAGCTTTGATTAAGGATTATGAAGTATTATTTACGTTGCAGCCTGATCGGCCGGATGAATTGGCCAGAATTGAAGCAGTTGGTGGGCGGGTGATCTATGTGAACGGAGCTAGGGTGCAGGGAATCCTGGCGATGTCGCGGGCATTAGGTATGATCTTTGATCTTTTATATCGCTTATAGCAGTTTCAGGATTATTACACCGTGCCTATTAATCTTGTTGGTTTTGTAATATAAATGCTTAATTGATTTTATTATTGGTTTGATAATGTTCTTTTAAGGTGATATGATATGCAACACTAAGCACTGGAATGGAGATTAGAGATTCAAATAGTTGTCCAGAATTGTTGATATGGCATTAATAACGTGATCTTTATGGAAAGGGTCTTGTTTTTTTTTTCTTTTTGGGGTCGCGATTTAGAAACATACCATACAATTCATATGAGTTTACATGTTTAACACGGGCTGTTTGATAGTATATTTAACTTAGGATTTATGCCAGATTTAAGTGAAATCCTGCTAGATAGTTATTTTGAACAAAATAATCCCTGGATGCCGTGAATTCGGATTCCTTGGATTTTACTTGAAAATCCCAAATTTACTAAAGCACAAAAATCGATGGATTGAACTTCAAGGGAGCCATAACAACTTCTTAAATCCTTTCAGAAATCACGAAACAGTTTTATTGGATTTACAATATTTAATAAATCCGTTATTAGACATTTTTCTGAATTTAACCCATTCAAGATTTAGTAAATTGAGATTTACGAAATCCAGATATTTTAGATCTCACTTGTTGCCAAACAACATCTTAGGGGTTGTATGGCAGCTGGTTTTAAGCAAGATTTTGGCAGGATTTGGGCTATAACAAAGAATGCATCAGTAAATCCTGAGCTCCCGTAAATTCTAAAATGTCGCCTATTCACGATTCAATCCTAGTTTTTGTAAATCTCGCAGGGGTTGCGTGTTTACAAGTAGAATTTATTAAATAGGATTTATCAAATCTCGTAAATGCAGATTAACCAAATCCTAAGGTGCTTAAATCCTTAAAATTGTTTGACATGTTAGTAAGTAATTTCTGATAAATCGTGAGAAGATGTTTGCCAACTTTAAAAAGATTTAACAGGATTCGTTTGGGCAAGAATTCAATGATAAATAATAATGAAAGATACAAATGTATCTAAAAGCTCAAAAGTGCATGAAAGAATGTGAATTTATATTTATTAATAAATAATCATTTTTTTAAGCTAATTATTTATTAAGCAATAACTTAATATAATTATATAAATTATGAATTATTTAGAATTTTGTTAAATAATTTAAAATTTAAATATAATATAATCATTAATTAACTATTAAATAATTATATTTAAATTTTTTAAATTATAACTAATTTGTTATTTTATAGATTAAACATTAATTATTTGTCAATTAAATTAATAAAACTAATTTAAATAAAAGTTAGTTATGACTCATATACTACATAAGAGGCGGATCCTGGAGGGAGGGAGAGAGGGAGAGAGGGAGGGAGGGAGCGGAGTGAAGTAGAAACATCTATCAAATTGGAGTAATTTTTACTTATGTGAGTTTGGGATGGCCCCGCGGTAGATACAAAAATAATTTGTTATTACATGTTGCCAGCTGCTCCGTAGGTAAAATTGCCGAACCTCTTACTTGTCAAACCTCCTTAAGGGTCTGTTTGGCGCAGCTGCAGATTGTCAGCTTTTCAGCTGCAGCTGCGCTGCCCCAGGAAGCCGCTGTGGGGG